CATTCACTCATACACAACAACACTCACACAATCTAAATCATTCTGAGGTATGCATCCATACCTACAATTATTGTTTCCCTTGTAGACTTGTCTATTGTTTGGCTGAAAATGGAACCATATTACTGAATTTATTGTCAGACCTGAAGGGGTAGCTAAAGACCTTGAATTTTCTACACAGTATGCATAGTGCCTACACATTAAGATGCTAACTACAAGGTCCACAGTTCAAAATTACCAGTTGCTCTGCAGGGATAGACAAAGCTTTCTACTCCTGGAAAGAGTGACAATCTCAGAAATCCACAGGCCAGTTCTATTCTGTCCTAAAGGGTATTTTGAGTTGGAATCAACTAGATTGCAGTGAGTTTCTTTGTATGTATTACTCATTTTCATTATGATGAATATATAAATAAATACAAAAGTTGTCATTTCTGCATTTTCACATGCTTACTATCCCCAATCAATGATCACCCTCTGTCTCTGTGACTGATTTTCATCCCTTTATACCCACTTTCTAAAAATTTTTTGCTTTCTATGCATTAAATAGTTATTAACTATTTGCGAAAGAAATGAAAAATCAGGTAACCCAAAAAAAAAGTAAAAGTAAGAAAAATTTTATGGACTCAAAATCTAGTTCTACAAACCACAAGTTTATGTGAAATACTTAAAACTCTCAGCTCTGTTTTGTAATAGATTTTAAGTTAATGCATTTACAATATTTAAAATTAAAGGCAATAATAACAAAAACAGCATATTGTGTATACTGTCACCTCAATCTTGACTCATAACAACAGTTCCATGAGATTTTCTTGACTTTAATATTTATCGAAGCAGTTTGCTAAATCTTTTTCCCATGGAGTCTTTAGGTCAGCTGGCAATGCCAGCCCTCACAGTGAGCAGCCCAGTGCTTAAACCCTAAGCATGCCATCACCAGGGATTTTATTTGGAAAGGATAAACAGAACTAAATAAATGTTAGTGGAATTTGAATGTCTATCCCTTTACAATTGGGTAAATTACCAACTCTTTTTCTCTTAAAAAGTGAATGCTCATCATTTGGAAATTGTATTTACACAGCTTATGTAATGTACCGACTGATGATTAAAGATGGATGAAGTGCTACTCCTTTATTTTTCAATTTGAGTAGCATTTGCAATTAATTACTGCATTGCAGCATATCCAATATATTCTACTACGCATTTATGTTTTAATTAAATGGGTCTTTGTGGCAGGTGCTGTCTATGAAATGAGTCCAAGGATGCCTGATGCATGGAGTGCTCAATGGGCTGGTGCCCCCAGTTCCCCACCAAGCATTCCCATGCCTTAGGCTCATGTGCAGCTCAGCAGATTCGCTCCACTGACTCCAGATTCAGTCTTGATTCTTTCTACTTATTCACGATGTGTCCTCATTTAGCTCGTCTCTCCCAAAAAACACGCTGCCAAAACCCTTCCCTGATTTTCTATAACTGATGCACTATGGACACCATATTATTTATCATTTATTTTTGTTGTTTAATAAAGCCTCTTTTTTACTTATCTCATGAGCATAGACATTGTCTGTTTGAGAAGAATGAGCAGTCCTTGAGGATAAAGCCTGCACTGCTCAAACGTACCAATCACTCAGTGGGAGACAGAGGAGACTATCTGCTCCCTGAAAGATTTGCAGTCTTGGAAACCTGATAGATGGTTGCTAGAAGTCCACACTGAATTGATGGTAGTGTGTTTGGTGTTTGCTTTAAAAAGGTTGGATGAACTCGGGATGAAATTGTTTAACCGATTAGGAAACAGTGTCTTTCAGTGTGAACTCCCCTTCCTTGGTTTTCCTCTTCCTCGAGCCCCTCCCTGCATCATCCAGGGGCATCTCTGTGACCCGGAGCTGCCCACCCACATCTAATACCTTCATGTTCTGATCTTTCCTGATACAACTTGCCAATAAAATGTAATTGCTAACATTTCATTTCTTGGGGGACCTGCTACGATGCTGAAGCAGATATAAAAAAGTAATTGATGATAAAATAACAATGGCTCGCGGGCCACCAGTAGAACCTGGCAAGGTTTATAATCAGGACTAGGATTTGTCTCTTAAATCAAATCCAGCTGTGTGACCTTGAGCGAGGTGCTGAGCAGAGAGAAGCTACAGTTGACTCATAGGTTTCAAAGGTATCACAAAGGAGCCTGCTTCTCAGACTTATGGTAACGGTCCAATGAAATAATGTTGGCAGTTTCTGGCAAATACTGAGTGCATCACTATCTCTGCCAGATTAAAATGAGTATTGATGTCAGACAAAGGCATAATTATGTTTAAACAAAGGTCTTCAGTATTTTTAGCTCAAAGGGATTAATAAGGATGAAAACCTCGGGCATTATTTTTTTTTCTTGTTTAGAAATGACCTTCAGATTCACAAAAACGCATACATGCATTCAAAATGTATTATGAATGCAAGCATTCACCAGATAAGATCAGAAACAACTTGAATTACCACTCCCTCTACTTTTAAACTATTTCAACATAGACCAAGGAAAAAGAGCTACTTCAGGAGAATCCTTCTATTCTCAGTGTTAAACAAAAGAATTTTATTTAACTTTCTTCAAGGTCTTTGGGAATTTAACTTTATGACTTTAGAAATTTTCTCTAAAAACTTTTGTAGAGTCAAGGATCTAGGTACCAAGATCTACACTGTTTTTTTAGATGAAGAAACAAAGATTGATGTGATGAAATATGTGATCTGAGTTTTCGTTTTGCCACTTGATAACTGATTAAACTCTGTTTATGTCAATACTTGCACATTCATTCTTCAGCGTCGTCCTGAAAATGCTTATCTGACAACTACAGAGGGCAGTTATGACATTAATATAAAGTGTGAATTGAAAGCATTTTGAAAAGAATAAACAAGCTACAATTACATGAATAATTATTCCCATCACAAACACCACAGCCAGGAGCAAATATTACACATCATCACTTCAGTATTGGAGATGTTGGTACAGCACCACTTTACAAAGATTACAATTTCATTTTTCATGGTTTTTGCACTTTATGTTTACTTGAAATATTGTTTATTTGATTTTATCTAAAAGGAAAAGTCTTTGAATCTGGAAAATGAATCCGTTTAATCTTTGTATTATTTGTTTCAGAGATGTTGGTAGTACTATCTACTGAGCTCGGTGATCATCTGCATCTCCTGTTGACTGCATTATGACTTAACAAAGTAGCATTGTTCCCTAGAACTACTGAACCTTCCTCCCGAGGGAACTGAGAGACTCAAGTCCCAGACCTTTTGGTTACCCACTGTGCTGCCAGGACACCTTTGAACATTGAACAACAACAACAACAAAAAGAAGAAAACAAAAACAACACACAAAGCTGCTGTCATTGGGTCGATCCTGAGCCATCAAGACTGTATGTAGGATCGAGTGGAACTGCTCCTTAGAGTTTCTGTGGTTTGACATCTTTAAGAGAGAGCAGACAGCATCATCTTTCTTCTGAGGAGTGGAGGGTAGGGTTGACCCACTGACATTTCAGTTCGTAACTGGGTTTTTAACCCACCAGAGCACCAAGTTGCCTTTAACTTCGCTGAAATGGACAGACAATTACCAGACAGGGATAGGGACCCAGTTGAACATGTCTTTGTGAAATGATAAGGACCCAAGAAAGCATATTGTTGCATAAAGGTCCAGGGGGATAAGTGGAAGGAAAATGGTGAATGTTGTTGGAATTATGGACAGCAAAGGCCTTGAGGAGTCCTGAGGAACTTTTGTTTGAATAATAAGCTGGACTTCTGAATACACTGCCCACAGATTTCTGAGGCTGTACTCTTTATAGGCTATCATCCATAATCATTATAGATCGCGAGATAGTTTATCCTATAAAGAAGCTGATAGTTTACACTCCAGAATCTTTAATTAGTTGTATCAGAGCTTCTTTTAGTATCTACTGTTGTGGCCGTTAGCTGTCAGTCCAGACTCAGTGATGCTATGTGCAACAGAATGAAATGCTTCCCCTTCCGGAACCTTCCTCACAATTATTGTTATGCTTCAGTGTATTGTTTCCACCACAGTATCAATCCATCTCATGGAGGATCTACCTCTTTTTTGGTAGACTTTCTATTTTACCAGGTGTGATGTCCTTTCCCAGGGATTGGTTACTCCTGAGAGCATTGTGTGTATAATTCCTTCCAGACAAACTTGTTTGTTCTTCTGGTAGTTTAACACCACCATTCAAACGCATCGAACTCTTCCTCATTCAGAGGACAACTTTCATCTACAGTGAAGCTCCACTGAGACCTGGTCTTTCTGGGTGACCTGCTGCCATAGGAAATACCTAGAATCAAAGCAACATGCAAGCCACATAGTGCCATAAACCAACATACCAGTGGTGAGATTGTAGCCATGAAAAGAATAGTTTTATTTGCTCACAGTCAGAAATCCAAGTAGGAGATCCATCTGACCCATGTGGCATTGGCTAAGGTATCACATGAGATGACATTGAGGCGGTAGCTAGAACAAGGGCATCCAAAATGACATTAGCTGTGCGTGGGGTACCTTGGTGGAGACAAGTGTGAGGGTAGGGCCATTCTTTGACTTTTTGCACTTGACTTTCTCCAAGTTTAAGTTGTGATTCATTACATGAAGTCGATGCCAGGAACAGGCATTTCAAGTGTCAAAGGCCAAGGTAGTAGCCCCAAACTTTGTGGTTACAGAGTCCCACCTCTGTTCCACACTCCTAGATACAATAATCACAAAGTCAGCCAGGTTCCCAGGGAATTAGGGGACACAAATGATATTTCCTGATGAGGGAGGGAGTGGTAAGAACAAAGCCAAGTAACTTCTTCGGGATTGGAGTTATTGAGGTGACCAATTGTGGAAACATAGGCCCACAAAGATCTCTTCAAAAATCAGATGTATAATTTCTTTCTCATAAATCTCATGATGAATCTTGGAAAAGAAAGACCCTAGTCATCTATATCCTTAGAAGACAAGATAGGCCCTAACATAAAATTGGCACTTGTGGAATTGTTCCAGGTTGATTTTGGTGCCCACCAAAGGAATTCCATAGTTGTGGCTAACCTAAAAAGTGAGCTCTTTCAACTTGGCTGCTTCCTGGAAAGATTGATGGTCCGGTCCATGATAGAGAAGCAGCTGATGACACCCTCTCTGCCTCGCATAGCCTGTCCCCTCATGGCTGTGTGCATTCTGCCGGCAGGAAAAGAGCAATATGCTTATGCAATTTAATTCTGTACAGTCAACAGAATGCACCCATATATTTAAAAAGGTCAAACATAGACAAACGATGAGACTAAGTAATTTAAATAGGAATTTTTACAATCATGTTTGATGTCTTAAATATGTCAAAAATGACAGAATTTTAAATGATCAGAATGATTAACTTTAACTACAAAATGTTCAACTTAACATCTATTTGTGTACTTTTGAATACACATAGATTATATAGATATATACATGTATATTTAATTTAATGACCATATTTTAAAAAACAAAACCAAATTTGCATACTCCATGCAATAAAATAATTTGAATCTAATTTAATGATACTATAAATTACTTACTTCAGGCATTTCTTCACTTCCTACACTTGAAAATCAATTTTTCTAAAACCCAGTAAAGAAAAAAATGGATGAATTAAGGAAGTTAGCTCAGCCTTGCAAATGTCAGTTTGCCTAGGGAAAGTTCCATAGGACGTCAAAAGGATTTTAAAGAGCTAATTAATTTTCTATTTAAAAATATGAAAATAGCCTGGAGTTAAACTTTAATTATCCTTGTGAATGGAATGGGTTATTAGCATAGGTAATCCCAGACCCAGTTATATGTTTGGATGTTCTTGGACTTGTTTTGCTGAAAGACACCAGTAGAAGCACATGGATTTCCGAGTCATGGATGAATTTTCACCTTCTGATGGCTCCTCTATCCTTTTCCCTCATAATGGTGGAGGGGAACATCATCTTCCAGATTGAGCCAATTCCCCAACAGAGGAAATTTCTATACTCTCCTCCACTGTTGCAATTTACCTGAATCACATCTTCCTCTCAAATAAACAGTAACATTTTTGGTATGAATTGCAATCTGGAAATTTTATTCCATCTAAAGCAACTCTTTCTTTTTACTCATATTCTGAATACATGCATTAAAATCCAATAAACAAAACCCCAACAATAAAATCTGCTGTTCAACATCTTTTTTCTTAAATTGAACCTTTTATAATTAAACACAGCACTCTGCCGATTTAAACTCTCTTTTTTGTTACTTAAGAAAAGCTAATTAGATCAAAGCAATGGGAAATATAATAGCTTAAGTCCTGGCTGGGGAAGATACCATATAAAATAATAATAATAATAACAATTACATAATATACTGGGATTTGAACTGATGAAAAGAAGGCTTAGGTGAGCTTCAGCTGCACTGGAAGTATTTGAGAAGTCAGGTTACTTCAAGTAGCATAGGATTTCCCAAGTCTCCAGCTCAGGGTAACTGTTGAAACAAAGATTGATTTGAATGAATAAAGTTTTTATTTTGAAAATCTGTTCTAGGTTAATGGATAAAGCTCTTAAATGATTTCCAGTCATCATGGAGTCGATGTAAACAATGTAATATGGCTCAACCGATGCTTTCAAAATGCTAAGAATTAGGGTGCAACGATGAAAGGTTTGTCCATGGTTGAAGTAATCCTTATTCTATGACTCTGATTTTATTAACGTCTTCAGCATTATTATTTTTTCTTTAAATTAAGTCTATATTTCACCATGTGAGTGAAATCCACTAACACGGGAGGAAAATCTCCTACCAGCTGCAGCTTCTTCGTTTCTAAAGTTCGACGGATCATAAAGTAGCTTGAGGTCCATCAGGGTCCATCTTAGTTGAAAGTACTTTGATTTGGGAAAATCTTTTGCCTTCATCAGAACCTCATATATGATAGGCATCAATTGGAGAAATACAAACTTAATATGCTAAATGATATTTCTTGAGTTCATTTTAAATAAGAAATCTATATGACCTTGAAGGAAACAAAAACAGATTTGTTACATCAATTTTATTTGAGTGACATCATAAATGAAACTGGGAAAATCTATTTTATAATTTCATAATCGACTGCATTTGCTAATTGTAAATATTGAACTTCTTTGGTTTCTTTTTCATTTGTCACTTGACTGAAAAATATTTAAAAACATGAAAAATATTCAAATGTTAGAGAATCATATACAATGAATTTCATCTCCTTCCCACCTCAAACTCCCAGTTTTCCTTCCCCCAACCAATCACAACAATCTTTATGTCTCTATAAAGAATGTATGTATACAAAAGCACATTGGTATATAGGCTACATTTATATATGTTTGCATACTCAAATGGGAACATAATGTATACAACTTTTACCTTTGGTTAAAATTAATAGGCTTCATATACGTTGAAAAGCATTCCTTATAAATATACTTTTTCTTTCCAGGGATGCGTCATTGTTTATTTCATTCATGCAGCATAATTTAACGAGTCGCTTATGCACAGGCCTTTAAATGGCTTCCTTTTAGTCCTAGTACAAAAGTGCTGCAATATGTTTTCATAAATATCCATACTGGGAAAATGTCTGTCTGTCTTAGAAATAATACGCTTAGGTCAAAGAGAGTGCACATATGCAATTGTGAGAGATAGTGCCAGTATCACCTGAAATACAGTGTGCCAATAAAACCCTCTCCAATATTTGACAAATGTGGTTTTTCCCCCATATTCTCATCAGTGCTGCTTGTCATCCTCTTTTTATGCCTTTACATTGTTTAAGTTACAAATGAATCTTGTTTTCAACAAGCTGAATCCATTTATTTATAAGTAATACTGGGCATCTATGCTTATTATTCATTCACATTCATTTTCTTCTACATACATATGAGTTTTAAGGAATGGGATAGACAATTCAGCACCTTTTAAAAAATATCTATTTGTTTCGAGTAGAGATGAGGCTTCCAATATAAGACATAAGAAAGAACCCAATCAACTAATTGGAAAAAATTCAATCATCTATTTGGAAGCAAGGCAAACATCAGAAAGGCAACATTAAAGAATGATGCAGGATGAAGAAATAAACCCTCTGCCGTGCGTGTTGCTTACACTCAAAGAAAGTGTCACGTGTAACACAGGCACGCCAGGCTTGGTATCTGATCTGAATGGGCATCTCTAAGGTCCAAAGATTTTTATTTTCAGAAGACCCCCAACAACAGCAATAACAGCAACAAAAACCTCTTTAGTTAATTCCACTTTGCTCCCGCACGTGGGATATGTTTCTCTCTCTGTCGCTTCAAAATGACCCTTATGATTAGAAAGTATGAAATCTGAGCGTGCGGTTACCTGACATGGAGGCCTGCTACTGACTGAGGGCATGCCTTCCGTCATCTGCCATGGCCCTGTGGCATCTCAATTTCCTCCTGTCTAGCAGGGAGTCAGACTCTCCCTTATTGGGTTGTAGAAAGGATCAAATGAGAGAGTAGGTTTGAAAATGCTTTCATAAAATTTTAAAAATACAATACAAATTAAGCCTATTATTTCTGGTATAAATCCAACAGAGCAGAGCCTTCCCTGTAAGAAAATGTATGAAATCTTCTTTGAGCTGTCTTAGAGAGAAATTTGGCAGTGCCTCTCAAATATGCTTCTTAAGAAAGTGTTTAAGCTTAATTTTTCACCCTAAGAGACTCTTTCTACCAATAAAGTAATTAAGTTATTGCAATGGATAGGAAGAATTCTTTTTTCATCTGACTTATTCCACACCAGTTCTTTACTTAGCATCTCCACGTGTTTTTTTAAAGACACACAGGAGGATGGGCCCAGAGCATCATGCGGAAGCTCGGCAGCTATGTGTCCATTTAATGATAGATGACACTGTAATTATTTTATAAGGGAAAATGCTATGTTCAACTTGTTGCTTCTGTCACGATTCACCCATGAATTAAAGATCCCTGTGCTCTGTGTTCTGTGCATCCTGAATACTAATATCTCCTCATTTGCTTCCAGCTACAAATGAAACTTGTTGGTTAATTATTCAGAGACATTACTGGATTCCATTTGCTTTCCATAAGTAGCAAAAATCTCTGACACAGGCCCAATGTGTACAATGCTACAAAGATGATAAGCATTTATAATATCTTCAAAGCTGAATTCTGGACATAACAGCAGTCGGATCTGTTCTCTTTGATAGACTTTCTTGTATTGAAACGCAGGGAGAATACTCTCAATTTTGAAAATGAAGAAAGGCTTTTTGATTAATCTCATATCACACCTTCATGATTATTTTAGTACTCTGAGCAGGTTCTAGGAAACGTAGAGAAGGGATTAGCACCTAATGGTACTACAAGATATGAATGCCTTACTATTTACAAAATGCAGGCACACTATAGTAAGAATAGCTTTGCAGCTCTCCCAGGAAGCCCTGGTCGGTACAAACTATGAAGTGCTGGCTAGTAACAGGAAGGTTGGCTGTTCTAAACCACTTGAAGGTGCCAAGGGGGGTGGGGAGTGGGGAATGTTAGCAATCGACTTCAAAAGGTCACAGTCAGAAAGACCCTATGGAGTGCCTGGCTGTCCTGTGTTGGAATGCACACCATGGTTCAGTACAATATATATACCACATGGTCGTCCTTTGTCTGAAAGCCTCGATGCCATCTCTGCTTTAAACACCACTCCTATAGTGAAGCTTCTGTTTGCCAACTGAAAAATCAGCAGATCAAACCCACCAGCTAGCTGCTCCTCAAGAGAAGGGACCCAGTGACCGGCTCCTGTGACCTTACAGTGCAGGGAACTCAATGGGGAGGTTCTACTCTGCTGCATGCAGTCACGCGGAGTCAGAATTGACTCCACAACCCACTACAAGAAAGACCAGATTTATCTCCCGAAGCTTTCACTGCTGTGGAGTTGAATCCTTCTCAGAGCCACCCTGAAGAACAGCTAGCACTGCCCCTGGGGCTTCCAAGGCTCTGTAAATGTTCATGGCTGCCGACCACAGCGCTTTGCTCCCTCAGAATAGCTAAGGACTTCAATCCACAGACTTCGGGGTTAGTATTTGAACGTTTAACTACTGTGCCACCAGGGATTTTTTGAGAACTGTAAATCTCAAATTAAAACTCACTGCCATTGAGTCCATTTGAACTCAGAGCAACCCTACAGGACAGAGTCGAGCTGTCCCCTGGATTCATGTC